TCTTGGAACACACAACTTAACCCGTACACAACATTCCAGATACACTCCTGTGTCTGTTTTGGGGAATGCCATGTATCAGTAATTATAATTCACAACAGCATCTTGAGCCAGTTGTCTTTGTAATTCTCCAAATTGTGGCTTCTGCCATTAGACCTTCCCTAAAGGCTTCATACAATTTTCTTCAAATATATTATGATGGAACATCCAATAGAATTAGCTTAGCTGGCACATTTTTGGTCAAGACTGTGCTGGTTATGATGTGTCTCTCTGATGCATTTCAGGACATAAACCAAACCCTGCAAGACTCCACACCACCCATTGGCTAAATCCCATTAAATGTCCTGAATGGTGAACCTAATGGAATGTAGTCAAGGAATAAAAACAAAAATTCTGTGCATCATACAACATCAAAAAGCATTTTTAAATTAAATGCTGAAGACATTAAGTAAGAAAATCCTCATTTGAAGACAGCTGAGGAGTCTGAGAAGTTACCAAATATTCCAGGACCACTGCAAGGTAGCCAAGACAGACAGACAGACAGACAAACAGCAATTCTTACTTCTTCATTCAAGCCACTTGCCACAAACTTCCGTTTATTGATGATTTTCACTGCAACTTTGTTACAGGTGCTCTTCTCAAATGCCAGTTTGACTTCTCCACAGGCACCACTACAACAGGAACACAGCTCTGTCAAAAATCTGTGTAACAAGTGCAGGCAAATGAAAGCATAAATTGGAGCTGCTTTCTAACTTTCTGAATAAGGATGCTTACCTTCCCAAAGTCTTTGACATAATATATTTCTCTCTGAATTCTTTAGGAAACATCATCTGATCATCCACCGTAAGATCAGAAAATACAAACACTGGGAAGACAAGTGGACATCATTTTCCCATTATTAGGTTTAAATTTTTTATTAGAACAAACAGCTATGTTTTGTGAGCTTTTATAGTCAACAATATAACTGAGAAAATAGTGCCTGCTAGAGGAAAAACTAAATATATGCTATAAATTATACCAGCTATGGGTTAGCAAGGTGATCTTATTGCTAAAAAATTGCATTTTGGGATTAAATTCACAACAGTCTTTAAGTAATGAATTACATTTAAGGACAAAAGGAGCAAAAATTTCAATGTTCCAGCAAAGATAAAAGAGATCTAGTTAGGTATCTGGGGCTTTTTTTTCAACTTTTCTTGAATAACCTGTTTCCCCTGTTCCCACCATCATATGCACAGCTACTGAAGCCCAAAAGGGTTTCACAAACAGGAAAAAACCTATAAAAGTTTATATTCTAGTAAGGTGCTGCCTGATCCAGATTTCTTAAAGTTTTCTTTTTCAGGTTTTTTCCTAGGGTTGACATGGATAATTTTCATGTGAGTACTAAAACACCTATTAATGAGATGTGCTCATGAAGCAGCTCAGCTCCCAAGAAACACAATCAAATCAATGCAGAAACAACCTCCTGGTCAATACATAAAAAATCTATTTAAGTTAAAGCACATTTTACCCTTATTAGTCAGTACAGACAGTGCAATTTCAGAGTTGTGTGTCAGTGGGAGCCTCCTCCCTCTTCCAACGAGCTCTCTATTAACAAATGTTCCATTTGCACTGTGGTCTTCAATGTAGGCAACATAGGAATTTCTTGGACCCATTTCCTCAAAGAGAAAAAAATGGGGAAGATGACAGAAAAGAACAAATGACTTTACAATAAAGACATGATACACTAGAAATTTACTATTGTTGACTCAAGAAATGAGACCGAGTTTATTTCATAAACCATATGAATGGGGTATTGCCAAGTCACATTCAAGGAGTTAACCCTGAAAATACTTAGATTTCTTTAGGATCTCTGCCTCAAAGTCTCTTTTTAAATTATGCCAAAATAGACAGAATTAACACTTTTAGCACTTACCCTGAAAATTCGGAAGTGCTTCTTGCTATAGTTTTGGTAGAAGCCAGTCTCAGACAATCCCAGCTTAGAAAAACTGTAATCACAGCTTTTGTCCCTCCCAAACCAGTACTCCTCATTGACACAGTCTGCAGAGGAGGGGAAGGTACAGCAGAGAGAGAAGACAATGTTGCAGGAAGTTAATAACTATGGCAATACAGAATGATTCCAAATGGTAATGGATAGGATAACAGAGACAAGATTCTTCCCAAAGAAAGTTTAACTCATACAAAGCACTACACCTTGTCAAATTTTTTATTAATTTTACCCTCTTCAGCAGTGTTATTTTTCAGTTCACCATCAGCAATACAGAGACATATAACTAAATAAAATAGATTATAATTTTTTTTAATTAAGCATGTAACAAAGGATATGAACACCCCAGAATTTCTGTTGAGTCTATGGCAGCTGTATATCTGAGAACTCAGTGTAAACACTGGGATGTAGTATGGAAAAAAAACATTATAGCAAAAAGTTCCATACCTAAATTTGCTTGTACCTAACTGGAAAATGAAAAGACACTGCTCTTCAACAAGCTGCTCAGAACTTTTCTGAGATCCTACAAAGAAACCAAGAGATTTATTACAGTATGCACCTACCACAGTTGCTAAAACCTTTTCCAAGTGCAAAGAGTCGGCCCCAAGGCTGAGGAACCAGCTCTTCAGATTCCTGGTCCTCAGGGATGGAGGGAAGCTCCTGAGTGGGAACAGTGTCCAAGGAACTGACAGTGCCAGAACTTAAGGAAGACTGACTAGTGCTCTGTGAGCCACTGGAAGAACTGGTCCCACTCTGAGGCTGCTGGGCACTCTGAGACTGCTGTGCTTCACTTCCAGTCTCTCGAGACATGTTGGCTTTAAAAGAGAATGTTAAAAAACCACAATTACTACAGGAAAGTAAAATTGGCAAGCACTCACACGCTGCATTAATAATGTCCAAATCCATTCACAGCCTCAAAGAAGTAAAACTTACAACCAAAGCGTGCATTGGTTGGGTCTGGGTTATACGTAAATTCCCAGGAAGTGTGCAAACAGGATGGTTTTCCTTTTAAAAGGCAACGTGGGGCGGCCTCTGCTGGTTCTACAGCAGAACTAACCCTGATTTATTCCCGAATTGCTACCGAGCACTTCAGCGCTCCCATAGGGTCACACAGGCATGGGCTGTGCTCTGACAGAGCATCCCCGCACGGAGCAAGGGACCACGGCTGGTCCCCAAACAAAGAGAAAACCGAAAGGAGTAAGAACTGTAAAATCACATAGGTTTTCTTGAAAGCCTCCGAGAGATTTATCACACCTATGCATAATAAGTGTCCAAATCCTTGCCAGATTCAGACGCTGCCCGACAGCTGCCGGTTAATTTTCAGACTGACTCAATGCAGGAAACAGCCCGGAAATTCACAGCCTCTGGTGCCTCCTTCTCTATTTAAAGGCTGCCCCAGCCCCCCCTATAGCCAGCTTCCCCCAGCACAGCAGTGCCCACGAGCCTTCCAACCTTACCAGCTGTATATGGGGTTTTTAGCTGCTTGCCATACAATTTAATGTATACTTCTCCTTATCCTTTGCTACATTTCATTACGAGCCATAAAACCACGGCAGCTCCCAAGTTCCCGTCCCGTTCCTTACAGGTGTTTACAAACATGGGCGAGGCCCAGAGCTCCGCCCGCAGACAGAACAGACCCACGGAGCCATTGGGGCTGGAAAGCACAGAGACCATCGAGTGCCACCGCACTGCCAAAGCCACCGTGCCCTGTCCCCTGTCCCACACGGCTGCGGGACCCTCCAGGGATGCTGACCCCACCTCTGACACGTGCAGCCCTTTCCATACCGGCGCTTTCC